ATAATACAATATAATTACAATATTAATATAAACACACTCAAGTTACTACTCAATCCCATCATAAACCACCCCTGGCATTAGGAATTAACAATTTTAAAAATTGTTAAAAACAAATATTTGGGATATAATACCACCTCAAATTTAGTTATAATATTTAAGTTCATCGGAAATTGCTTGTCTCATTGTAAATATTTTTTTGTATAATTAAAACCAAATAAACAACATACCATGTTTTTTAGCAATCTGTATTAGCTACTAGTTTTTACTCGCGTTAATATAGTAAATACGTGTCACAGGTCATCGACGACCATATAAAACTAATTTGTATTTTTGTTTTATAAAAGGTACCCTATGTCCTTTTCTGCACCTCTAACAATGTGTGTAAAAAAATTCATTATGATCGGTTGACTAGTTAAGGCTTGAAAGGGTAATAAACAAACAAATTCGCAATTATAATATTATTTAGAAATAGGATTCTTGATAAAATATTTGGACGTTCTCGTCAAATTTTTACTATACAGTTTGTTTTCGAAAACTTTTTTTATTCAATATTTTTTTATTGTTACCTGGGTATCTTTTGTTTTTGAGGAAAATGACTAAGTACATCCACCTCATGTCCTCTTGCAGCGAGTGCTTTGAAAAGCGGCTCAAACATTATAAAGTGGCTTCTTCCATTATAGGGTAATAAACCTAATATCCTATAGCTTAGCACCGTCGCAATGCCGCTTAGTATCGCAAAAAACACTGGTACAATCCTCATCTTGAATATTACAAAAACACTTTCGAGTTTGTGATTCAACTACTTCTGTTACTATACTGAACGACCACCTATTGTTGATTGATTGCGAAAGACAAAAGAAACTACAGTGTGAGCGAACGCGCGGACTTCTACATACAATTAAATTATTTTAGAATGAATTACAATAAAATTTTCGCGTTTCGATAACATGACCTGTACGCATTTATTTACAAATGAGATAAATGAATATTTTATTGCGATAGAATAATTAAAAAACCAATTTACAAGGTTTCGTAGTACGCAGCGCGGCGCACTCAAAAGTAAATAACCAGTAACCACTTTAAGACGTCGCGTCGCGGTAAACGAAATAAATTCGCAAAATTTTTAAAACGTAGTGGGAGAATTTGTTTAATATACATGTTGGAGCGAGACAAATAAAACATCGATGCTTACGATCTGAGATAACGCTGCCAATTGATTCATTTTTGTATAACTATTGAGTTAATTTTTAAAATGTTTACTTATTAATTAATTATTTGGTCTCTAAAATCTGTATTATCAACGTAATAAAAGTTTTTGGCAGTGAATGGCGACTTTAAAAAATATACTGTGTCAATATAAATTGTTCTTTAATGCTACGATCTGAATGTAAATGATTGGTACATTCGCGAAGAATTCGTGTACTTAAATAATATTATCAATGTAAAAAAAATATATTACCTATATAAAATAGGAAAATCATTATTCTTGAGAATCAGCAAAAATAATAAACCATATCAGAGCTCATGTTACTCTTTTTATTCAATAATTAAATTATTTGACAACAAAATTAATGTACATATCTGCTCATGTATGCACATTTTATTTCAATCCTTGTTTACATCAAACGTGAGAAATACTATACCTTTCATTTTTAAAACCTTTGTAGTTTTTGGACAAAAACCTAAACATGAATGTAGAAATGAAAATGTGTTAAAACAGAACTTTGTTAAGGAAGTTCGTGTAATGCAGAATCGAAAGCAGTTGATGAAGATCATTTTAACAATAAATAATTTACCCTAGTTTGTTTAATTTTAAAATTGTTTTCTTAAGCATACAATTTTACTATTTTTATTTAGTAAAATCAGGTATATATTTTACTTTGGATAAATGACTTTTTGTACTTCTCTTATTTAAATAATACCAACAACATGGAACAATTCATATTGGACCAATTGCAAGTAAGTATTTGAAAATTCTGTCATTTCTTAGGTAGATAGATAATGTTGTTAGCGGCATAGACATTAGGTACCTACCAGGTAATACGTCTTTGCTTTTAATATATATCCTTAAGAATCATTACGATATAATACAAAACGTATTAATAATAAGCATTAATTAATACAAGACAAGAAAGTATCATATATGAGGTCTCGACTGTTTCAGNTTTTACTATTTTTATTTAGTAAAATCAGGTATATATTTTACTTTGGATAAATGACTTTTTGTACTTCTCTTATTTAAATAATACCAACAACATGGAACAATTCATATTGGACCAATTGCAAGTAAGTATTTGAAAATTCTGTCATTTCTTAGGTAGATAGATAATGTTGTTAGCGGCATAGACATTAGCGGAATATTATTTTGTCTATGATTTTATCTATGGTGCAGGAAGGTAAAGTAAGAAGTTATACATTATCTATGTGTTACACATGCGTTACAGCATAGATAATAGCGTTACACTAATGGGCAATTAATGGGTTACTTTTGCTTGGATTCGAACCACACAGAAAATGGACTGGGGCGAAGATTCCAATTTACTTGTAATTTTTGCTATAATTTTGTTAATACATTTTTTTTATTAATTTTTTTAAGGGGTTTTCAAGGAAAAAACGTTCTGCCAATAAAAATAATGACAAGGAAAATTTAACAAGCAAACAGCAAGATGGTTCACCAGAAATTAATTTAAATAGTAAAAGAGGTGGTTGGGCAGAGGAAGGAATAAAACTTAAGTACTTCTAACATACCTACTTTGTTGCAGTAAATCTGTAGTGTTTAAATTATTACTCTTTTTCAGAAATAAGTCTAAAACTAATTTTATTGATCAGTAAGTAATGGAATGTTGTGGTTATAATGGTCAAATAATACATTATTTATTTTAGAGATCGATTTAAAACTTATAAAATTGATGATTCTGATGATGACATTCCTGTAATTCCAGATATAGAAGAATTGCAAGATGAACCTATGGAAAATAAGAGTTTGAAGTCACACTTGTAAGTTGCTATTTACTTATAATAATAAAGATCCATGTAATACGTTTAGCTAAATCATAATTTTAATTACATTAGACTAGCTGTAAATACTTCTACATATCAAGAGTTGGATTTTGAATTGTCTACTGAGGGTAATAGTCCACTGTCACAAGCTAAACTGAAAACAAAAAATGGAGACATATCATTGAATTTTCTGGCAAAACATTTACATCTTGAAAAGGATATTAAAGAGGCAGATATTTCATGGAGTATGGACTCATTATGGAGTGATATATGTAAATTTGATGGCATTAAATAAAAATGTGCACAATTCACAAAAATTTCATTTCAATCAAATAAAGGGTGTAAAAATGCATGCACTATAAAGAAACAATAACAAGCATTCATTGATGGGTTGTTTGTAATGATGAATAATGAAAATGATTAATTTTTATTACTGTAGGGGAAAACCAAGAGATACTAATTTACTTTTCTTCAAAATTTAAATACAAGACAAATTAAAGTTCCATACTTTTGAGTGTAATGAGTTTTTCTTATTATATTTATTTTTTTTTGTTCAATTATTTTTACTGGTCTAATTTATAAAAAGAAGCGTTTTGAATAAGTATGTTATTATATTTTCTATTATTTTAAATATTCGTTTATGAGATTTCCCGGATCAGCAGGTAAATCCGTTTTGTATACGTAATTGAACCAACCTAAGCTTTACGTTAGAGCAACAGCCAACAATCGGCGGCTCGCGGAAGGTCAAAAACTGATCCGACAAAAATTTTTTGAAATTATAAACTATAGAAGGGTAGATATAGAGGGACAAAAAATTAGTATGCAGTAGTTAGCAGTATTAGCATCTAGCAAGGAAGAGTTAGAGATAGCTTTAAATAAAATGAAAGCGGTAATGACAAAATAGCATTGTATAAATAAAAAAAGTAAAACAAAAATACTGGTAAGCAAGGGAAGTAGGGAAAGATCGAATATAAAAATGGAAGTCGAATGATTAGAAGAAGTGTCTGATTTTAGGTATCTAGGAAGGAGTAGTAGGGATATAAAGCAGAGGATAGCGCAGGATCGAGTCGCTTTCAATAAAAAGAAGTCACTTCTATGCTTTAATTATGCGGTTAATTTAAAAAATTGAAAACGATTGTTGTACTTAGATTAGATTACCGTTCGCAAATAGTTAAGGATGTGGGATGTTCTAGTTTTAGGGAAATGCGAAGATTAACTTAAGATATAGGAAGGAATGAAGGTGCATGTCAAACCAGTCTTAGAACTGTCGAGCGTGATGATGATAAACCATTCAAATAAATTTTTTAAAAGATATTTTACAATAAAAAAACTAAAGTGAAAATATTTTG